TCAGTCCTGCATCAAGGAGTCCTGGCTCCTCTCCCTGGAGAAGGGTAGTTAGGGCCCACAGTCTGGCTAGTAGATGTGGCCCCACATGGTGGGTGGGTGGCTGTTCCTGGCCCTTTTCAGTGGACAGAGACTATGATTTCATACAGATACTCAGTTATAAGTCAGGACCACAGGATTTTGACTTAACCTTATCTAATTTACTTTGTATCTTCATTCTTCCATGCCAAAATCCAGGGGAATGACACCAAAATTGTTACTCATGTATTCTAGTACCAACACTGATTACTAAAAGAACTTTTTTGTAACATTCTTCTTGAATTCACTAAGAATATTCAAATTGCTGTGCTTTAAAGTCACTTGGAATAGTTTCTGTGGTGACGCCACCAACTGGATACACAGTTAAGTTCACTGGTTTCGTTTTACTGCCAATTTTCAGTGCTTTCTCTTAAGTGTGATTATGTTTTATAATTATGTATAATATTTACAGGATTCCAAAATCAAATCAGTACAAAGGTAGGTTCAGAGAAGGCCAGCATCAAGCTCTGCCTCTTTCGTCCCATGCCTCCCTCCTCCTACACGATAACATTATTTCATGGTTTAGCCTCTGCTGTTCTACCTCCCTGCTTACATTTAGGTATTTAGGAAGGTTTGTATTTTTGCTGTAACGATTACCACATGTACTTTTACATAATATCCTTAGTCTTTTCTTTTTTGGTTACTGAATGCTGGTTCTCTACTATGATCAGTAATGAAATTTCCCCTACATCTGATGTGAACATCATTTTAACATTCATATAGACGTTCTAGCCTCCAAATTTCTGACAGATGATATGTACCTATACAGTCAGCGCATACATCCATTATTTACGATAGCATATCCCTTCCTTATATTCCTCACCTGGTCTTAGCTGCACAGGTAAGCAATACTCAGTGCTCCCACGGTCTCATGGTGCCCTCTCCAGCCTTTCTGGTTGCCTGGCTCTCTTCCTCCAGCAGACTCCCCAGGAAGGAAGGGTTCCCTGAGGACTTGCATGTTCAAACAAGCTCCTCTGTGGCCTCTATACTCACGGCTCCTCGCCAGCTAGGTCCATGTTCATCTAGCACTGGAGGGACACGCAAGAAGGCGGGGGAGGGGGAGAGGCACAGCACACGTCCCTTTCGGCTTCCGGCTTCCCTTTTGGTTCACCTGGGGAGCCCCGCAGACCTCAAGGGCTCCAGGACTCTCTGACTGTGCAGTCCAGGGCCAGCCTGGGGGTCGGGAGGCTCTCCTGAGTCCTCGGTTCCCTCACTGTCCCATCTGAGGGGAAGCTGTTAATTCTATTAAACTCTCCTTTTCTGTCTCCTGATAGGCCGGAGCATCTTCATAAAATGCAAACGTCCTGTGTGCGCTCCTGGGGTGGCCAACTTTCTGTCTCAAGCACAACACCATTCTGGGTTCTATTGCACAGCCTTTCCTGCAGCCTGCTCCCCTCCACCTGTTTATTCACGCCGTGATTTACAACTGCGCTTACGCAAAACCTAAGGTTTCTTTTTTTCTGAGCCCCATGTATTGAGGCATTACAGCTGAGGGAAATATTTAAATTTGGGGGGGGGGGGGGGGAGTCAAGATTTTAGAAGGTTTAAAGCAACTTAAAAATTGTAAAAGCTTTTAGAAACTCCAAAAGTTACTTGTAAATTTCTCAGTAATCTCTATATGTTGTCTATTTACTGGGATGGTGACCAAAAGTCCAGGCAAATGATCATCTCAAATAAGGGAGTTTAGTGTCCAGATGAAAAATATACTTTACACACCTAAGTGCAAAAAAAAAAACTACACACTTTTAGATAACAGCAAAACCTTTCTCCTAACTCTGGGTTTTCACTGTGCTAACATTGATTAGCAAGGCGGCCAGTGGCACAGAACCAACGAGCCAAACCATTCCCCAGCTCTCGGGAAAACTGCCCGGGTGTTATTTCCTTGCACAGTAGTCCTGTTCGGTGGACCAAGTGCAGGTCCACACGGCTTGTCCAGTTTGCTTCGCGGCCGTAGATGCCCTTCGGTGAGCGCAAGCTCCCAGGCCGGCCTCTCCCAGAGAAGACCCAGCTTTGGCCAGGGTGCTCCCCTGGCCTGTCTTGGGCGCAGCTGCCAGGGCATAGAGAGTTTCCCACGGAAAACCAGAATGGCCGGGTTTAAGCTGCCCATCCTCCCCGCTCCGCAGCTTCTGAACAGATTGTTTCAGTCAAATAGATCATTTTACTACTAGGAGTGATTCACCTTGAAGGTTCTTACAAGGACACAGTGAAGAGCAATCATTAAATAGGCCCCCCCTCCCGGACTCACTGGTCACACTCAACTTCCATCACCAGAAAAACTCACGCAAGGTCTGCATGTGGTTAATGACAAGTTGTAATTGGTGCCAAGGTTTTAAAACACACTCTTTCGACATTAAAATGTGTTTTTCTCTGTATTAATGGCATGTCTTCTGAGTTTTCTATTTGAGATTTTTTACATTTTCCTCGTTATGACGAAGAAATCCATAAGTCCTATCATGCCATTCTTTCTATTGTCTCTAAAATGGAAACAGAGAAACACACTTATTAGTAATTTCTCACAACACAATATATAAATTTTATAAAACAATGATTTAGTATAATTTAATTTAAAGGTAATTTAAATGCAATATAATCTAACAGTTTTACCTTAAAAATTAATTACTTATGGTCAATAATCAGTAATTTCTACCTGGAAAATTAAAGCATTCTATTTTTTTGTACAAAAATGGGCATTTATTTCTAGGTATAGTACTGAAAAAATCAGTACTATATTTAATGAATTTTCTTTATTGACAACACAAGTTTTAGTCACTAGTTAACAAAGGTCCTCTTCTATTTAAAAAGGGTAGTGTGGGGCCACCAAGGGCCTGGCGGTGTGGGGAGTGCTGTGGAGAGGGACAGAGTAACCGGGGAGCTACAGGGAGGGCCACAAAGATGGTGGGTGACAGACTAGAGCAGTGGTTCTCAACCTGTGGGATGCGACCCCTTTGGGGGTCAAACGACCCTTTCACAGGGGTCGCCTAAGACCATCGGAAAACACATATATAATTACATATTGTTTTTGTGATTAATCACTATGCTTTAATTATGTTCAATTTGTAACAATGAAAATACATCCTGCATATCAGATATTTACATTACGATTCATAACAGTAGCAAAATTACAGTTATGAAGTAGCAACGAAAATAATTTTATGGCTGGGGGTCACCACAACATGAGGATTAAAGGGTCGAGGCATTAGGAAGGTTGAGAACCACTGGACGAGAGGAAAGACAGTGGACTGTGGAGTCTGGAGGCAGAGTCAGGTGGCAGGGGCCTCAGAGGGGATGTGATTTTGAAAAGGGAGCAGAGAAAACGGCTTGAAAGGGACAGGAGTGAGCGCTGTGGGGGCAGCCAGGGTCTGTCAGCAGGAAGTGAGGTAGTTGGGCCCACACTGGTGTCCCAGCTGTGGAAGGTTTGGGAAGGTGGGAGGGAGGAGCGTCTGGGCAGTGATGAGGGGCTGCCGGGTAGGGCTTCTCAGTGCTGGAGGGATGTTCCTCCTAGTCAGGCCCCATCCCCGACTCTTTCGTCCCCATTGCCCTCAAGCCTGCCCGCTGTCCGGTATCTGTGAGTATGGAGCACCCAGGACTGCAACTTCTGGTCCATAAACTGCATCCTCATGAACATGTGCTGGGACAAAGCGCCAGATGGCAGTGTGAGGCTTGGGGACACCCTCACAGGCACTTGGCGGGGGGGGGGGGGGGGGCAGGAGGTGCTGGAAGGCCTTGGATCAGCCTCTCTCTCTCTCTCTCTCTCTCCTGAACCTTGTGGGAGCCGGGCTCCATCCTGCCTCACCTAGAGCCCCTTCCCCTGGAATTGCCAGGCTTCCTGGGCCTAAGCTCATGAGGGGCATTGTCACCACCCTCAGGGAGCCCCCTCTGTGGGGCCACAGCCCTTGGGGGGGCTGCCACCACCCCACCTGCCCCAGGCTGCTTGTCCTCTGCACAGTATGGGGCACACATCTCCCGAGAGATGTGCAAGGAGCGGGGATGAAGCTGTGTCCATAGCCCGGTCACACCTCCACCTGCAGTAGCCCCGCTTCTGCATCTCACTGTTGAGAGTGAATTCTTTCTTACTGTTCAACATGCTATGATTTTAAACCACTTGACATACTGTCCTTCAGAATCAAGGTTAGTGTGGATAAACTTTTTGTAGAGACGGGATACATTTTCTCCTCTGAAGTCTGAGAACTGAACCCCGCCCCGCCCCGAGTCCCACGGAAGCCAGCATCCTCCTGCCACTGCCTCCTCAGCAGGCCCTGGGGAGGCTCCGGTGGCCTCTCCTCAGTCACCACAGGATGAGCGGGGACCAGGAATCCGAGATAAGCGGTGACGGGAGGAAGATCTCTAAGGATCCCTATGCCCAGGGCCAGGGACTGCTCGTACTCACATGCTGTCCTTCAGCGAGGCGAGATAGGCTTCCGTTTCCGAAGTAGCAATATCTGAGTCCAGGCTGGACAGGTAGCGGTAGACGTAGGAGAAAGTCTTGAAGGGGATGCGCGCAGGCCCCCCCTCCGGGTCCTGGGTCAGGATCTCGCACAGGTTCTTCATCGCGGTGTTCAAGGACTAGGAATGG